AGCCAGTGTCTTCGGGGTTTGTGCACAGCAAGCCTGGGGCAAAGCCTTCGAATTCGGGGTGGGGCAGGGAAAGGCTCTAGGTGATGAGGGAGAGTTTAAACACATCCCACTGGGACCCGAGGGCTTATCCTGTTGGAAGTCACACCCGCCCCTTGAGCAGGAGGCCCCTGACTTCAGAAATATGGCTGGCCAGGTTTGTCCCGGTCTTTCATCTGTGTGTCCTGATGGTCACCTGAGCATGCCCAGGGGCTGCATGGCCTCCTCTGGGGATGGGGCAGGTGGGGGAGGATGGGGCAGGGCCCCACTGGGCAGGGCTCCTCTTCCACGGCCTTTGCTTGTCATGATACCGGGGTAGGAAAGGGCAAGACACGCCATACTGACCTCCAAACGGGGAAATGAGACAGGCGGCCCACCCACACTGCTACAACCTCCTGAGGAAAGTCCCTATCCTGTTCTGGTTTTAAGAATCACATATGTGGCTTGTTACGCAGGTTAGAATTGAGCTCAGAAAATCATTTAGGATGCCTTCGATTTAGAGGCTCCAAACTGTCCCCCCTTTTGCTGTTGTCAGAGGAGGAGAATCTTGTGCCAGTTTCCAGAGTCGAGAGAGAAGGAGGAAAGAGCAAACCAGAGCTAATCTGCTCCCGGGCCACCGGCTACGGCTGCGGGGCCTCTCTGGACCTGAGCCCTAGATCTGCAGCCAGATAAGTGAGGTGCACAGGAGGCTGTAACAATGCGTCTCGACCTTGGATGTGGCCTCTTCGGACGCTGGACATGGAGCAGCAGACAACTGCCGGCTGGCTTGGCGTGGACGCTAGAGAAACAACTCAGGGTCACAAGAATCCATCTGAGTTTTTTTTACCGATTCACCCAAGGAGAAGGAGGGTGAGGGAGTACAGAGAGACCAGAAATAAAAGATGTGGCTGATAGGACATGGCATTCCATACGGGATGGGTGCTGTCAGAGGCAGCTCGGAGCTGGGGGCTTCTCTGGGTGTGCTGTTCTTGATCGGGTTCCCCTGGAGGACTAGCACCCCTTGGGACGGGAGAAGCAGAGCCCAGAAACTCTGTTGACAGCCTGGGAGTCAAAGGTCATTGGCTCCCTTTGGTGGCTTAAGCCACACTAGGTGGCTTAAGATCACCTGGCAGTCAGGATTCTTACCCCCTGCTTAATGCCGGGACCCATCTGAGCAACATCAATGAGCTAGGACTGTGGAAAGTTAGCTTCAAGCTCATTCTGAGCGATTTGAAGCTATATCATTGCATGTCTTTCCCATTTTTCCCCTAGTAATGGAAAGCATGCAGGTTCTTTGAATGTCATTTTCCAGTGCAAAGAAAACCAAGCCATCTCCTGACCACACTTGCCTATAAAATAGCCAGCCACTCACCTGGGAAGGCGGACAAAGTGCTTTCATCACAATAAAGCAGAAAAGATAGAGTGAGGCTTGATCGGCTAACAGGGGAGCTTGCCAGAGAGCTCTCCTGTCCTTCCTTCTCCCCCAAACACCCTAAAGATTCATTGACTGTGATCGCAGGGGAGAAAGTTCATTCCAGGCTCTTGCCCAGCCACGTGCCAAAGCCCAGTATCGGTTGCACAACCCATATTCACGCCAGTAAAAAGCTGAGAGTCCTCACTGACAGCACTCTCAGCCGGGGTCTGTTTACGGTCTGGGGTCCTCTCAGGAGGAAGCAAGTGGCTTCTGAGGTGACCGAGAAGGGAAGCAGCTGCTCATTAGCTCTCTGCAGGGCAAAGTCCATGAATGTGCTTGCTCAAACCTCTGAGAATTGTTTTTAGTAACTACTTTCCTGATTAAGAAAGAATGTGTGCTCATTTCAGCGTGTAGTGTAATAGCCCAAACCTGGAAACGACCCAAATGTCCAAAAGCAGTAGAATAGACGAATATGTTATTTATACAATGGAATACTATGCAGCAAAGAAAATGAATGAATGGCAACTTCATGCAAGAATGTGGATGAATCTCACAAAAATAATGTTGAATGAAAAACAGAAGACATAAAAGGGAACATAGAGTACGGTTCTATTGATAGAAAGTTCAATGACAGGCAAATGGTACTAAATTTTTTTAGGGATGCTCATGAAAGGTTAAAAAAAGCAAGAGAATGAGGAGGAAGAAAGAGGTTTGAGGAGAGGCTACTGGTACTGTTATATTTCTTGCTTTGCGTGGGTATTTGCCTTATGATTATTTATTAAATTTTACATTTGTATTTTAGGCACTTTGCAGTATGTACATTTCATAATGCAATGATTTTTAAAGTTAGATCAAAAAAGATCATCTACGCCTATGACAATCTTTGCCTTTTATGACTCAAATGCAAAATCGAATCTAATGTAAACTGAAAACTATGAAACGTCGTTGAAAAATTAAGGACAACCTAAATAAATGGAAAGATCTCATATACATGGATAAGAAGACTTAATATTATTAAGATATTATTTCCCCAATTTACATAGAGATACAGCACAATCTCTATCAAAAATGCCAGCAGATGGGGTGGTTCCATAGTGTAGCGGTCAGCACGTCTGCTTTACACACAGAAGGTCCTGGGTTCGCACCCCAGGTGGGGCCATGGACCATATCCCAGGTGGCACCAGGCTTCTGGTGTGCTGGGGGCCCCAGGCCAGGGGCTTGTGGGAGGAGACGCCCCGCCTTCAGAAATCCAGTTCTTAAAGGGAGATGGCAACATCCGCAGGTCAGGGGCGGAAGTGGCGGGGAGAATCAAAGAGGGGAAAAAAATTCCAGCGGGCCTTTTTTTTTTTTTTTTTTTGCAGAAATGGAAAAGCTGATCCTCAAATTGATATGGAATTACAATGGGCTCCAAACAGCCAAAACAATAATGAAAAAGAAAACTAAAATTGGAGGACTCAAATTTCCTGATTTCAAAACGTACTATAATGCTACGGTAATTAAAACAGCGTGGTGCTGGCGAGAAAAATAACAGGCGTAGATCATGAGCTTGGATGAGGCAAATGGTTTCTTAGATGTGATCCGAAAAGCACAGCAATGAAAGGGAAAAAGCAGGTAATCCTGACATCAAGATAAAAACTTTGATGCTTCAAAGTACATTACCTCCCACAGAATGGGAGAAAACTTTTGTAAATTATATACTTGGTAAGATTCTAGTATACGAACATATAAAGAACTCTTACACCTCAACAACAAAACGACAAACTCAATTAAAAAAGAGGCAAAGGAATTGAATGGACATTCCTCTAGAGGACATGCAAATGGCCAATAAGCACATGAAAAGATGTTCCATATCATTATTAGACAAATGAAAATCAAAATCACAAAAAAAAATTTTAAAAAATCAAAACCACAGTGGGACACCACTTCACACCCACTAGGATGGCTAGAATCAAAAACATGGATAATCGAGTGTTAGGAGAATGTGGAGCAATTGGAACCTTCATACATTGCTGTAGTAACATAAAATGGGGCAGCCACCTTGGAAAACAGAGTTACCATATGACCCAGCAATTCCACTCCTAGTTTATGCCCAAAAGAATTGAAACATATGTCCTCACAAAAACTTGTTAATGAATGCTCATAGTACCGTTATTCATAATAGCTAAAAAGTGGGAACAATCCAAATGTCCATCGACTGATGAGTGTAAAAACGAAGGTGGTACATCCATACAGTGGCATATTATTTGCCCCTAAAAAGAAATGAAGTTCTGATACACGCTACAGTGTAGATGAACCTTGAAATTAAAAGAGAAAGAGGCCAGTCACAAAAGTCCACCTATTATCTGATTCTGTCCTGGTGAACTGTCCATAACAGGTAAATCCGTGGACAAAGAAGATAGATTAGTGGTTGCCAAGAGTTGCAGGAAGGGAGAAATGGACAATGACGTAACTGCGTTTCTTTTTGGAGGTGATGGAAATGTTGTGAAATTAGATAATGATAAAGGTTACGCAAACTTGTGCATATACGAAAAAACACTGTACCCTTAAAAGGGCCAATTTTATGGTATGTAAATTATGTCTCAATTTAAAATGTGAAACAACGAAAAAAGAAAAACTCACTTAATTGGAACTGTTTTTTTAAAATTATACCTAATAAGCCTAATTTTTAAAAATAGTGTGCTCACTGAAAGACAAATTGTAAGCACCCCCCTTCCCAAAGTAACTGCCATCGCCCTGTGAACATTTCTGTACCACTGCTTAAAGAAAGGATCACAGAACTAGAGTTGGTTTTGTTACCATTGGAAAGAATGCCTTCATTCCCCACACGCGCGCGCGCACACACCGCACACACACACACACACACGCGCGCGCACACACACACACGCGCGCACACACGCTGGCTGGAAGGAAGGAAGGAAGGAAGGTAATATTAGCCCCCAAAATGCAAGCCCTTGACGGCCTGGACGAGATGTCCTAGCCGTCTGGCTAGAGTAAATGAAGCCTTTGGTGGGGGAAGGCGTCAGGAATGGGACAAGGACCGCGTACTTGAGGTGTGGGCCCCG